GTAGGTGAGAAATGGATGGCACCAGATTGGTCATGGGTATTGGGCCTGGTTAAGTACATGGGTAATTCATTATATACTTTTGTCTACCTATTTTAATATTCTCCACAATAAAAAGGCAAAACATTTTCTTTTCACTTGCTAGTCTGAGCTATTTTCCTAAGATCTAATGTGATATTTAGGTGATTGCCATTTAAATGGTGCTATAAAACCCAATACCAAAATACAGAATTATATGCTACTGTTATGTGTGTGTGTGTATAACAGTTATCATTTATTATTTACTTTGTACTAGGCTACTAGGCACTGTTAAGGTGATTTATATAAATGATGTCATTCATTCTTTATAGTAAGCTTACCAGGTATTTATCACTAAAGGCTCAGAGAGGTTAAAAAAAAACACTTGTCCAGTATCATCAGTATGGAAATAAACCCTTTGAATGTTCACTATCCATTCCCAATATGAAGAAAATAATCATTCCCACAATAACTCAAACACAATCTCACATTCATAACAATGTACTTCACTTGCAAGTTATTGTAAACTATCAGGTAGACTTGACCAAACACAAGGCTGAAATCAGTTTACTTTTACCTAGTTAAGTCAATACTTGGTAGACTTAAAATAATTTTATTTGCATTCACAATAAAATCAAGAATAATGCTAGCTAATTGTGCAAAGAGTCACTATTAACAGCCACAATTGGAGGGAGGAAGGGAGGTAGCAAAGTTTAAAGGTTTAGCTTTAAGACAGCAGGTTTGCCCTCTTTAAAATGAATAACCATGTACAATCATGGGAATCTGGCCCTACAAAATGATAGAGGTCAATCCACTCTATGTTCAGGCATTGAATCCTAAATAGTTCACAAGCACACGTAAAATTCAGCAATTAGTTTATATCAAATTGCAAAACTTTTATGCAATTGTGGGTTGTAATACATAACAGTTCCTTAAAATTGTCAATAGTTTCCTTAATGGAACTAGTGCATTCCAAAAACCACATGCAGTTTTACAAATTATTACTAATGGCTTTAACTAAACAATTGAAGATTATTTTCCTCTGCAAAAATACTTAAAACCAAGGAAATAAAACTTAAGAATGACTATTTAAGGAGCACTTTTTTTAATCCAGTTAGTACAACCTGCTGGCTTTTTAAAAGGTTTTCTTTGGCATGAAAGTAAAACATAAGAAACATACAATTCTTTGCAGTTGTAAGTGAACAAATGAGGGTACATACTTCCTGGAACACAAGTCTCACTAAATAAGGGTATGTTTACTGAAAAAGAAACCTCAGTCAAAGGGACCAGAAAAGGCTTTGATGTTTTTAAGAAATTCCAAATTGACTGACCATATAACAAATATCTTTATACAATTTCTTTAAAAACCAGACCCGTCCTCTAGCATATGGTAAATTATTTTGTTCACAAAAACATACATACAAATTCTCAGGGAATTGAGGTATTAGAAAACTGAGGTATATTCATATAGCAAAGGGGCAGTCATGAAAATCTGTAACTAAAAATGAGCTTGTTTCTTAGCACTTTAAAACCTTACATTATAATCCCTGCATTATTTACATGTTTTAAAGTAGAAGATATATTTTGGCACTTTGGTGGTCTGTTATTCCTTTTTCATCTGAAGATTAAACACATTGCTCTCACTAGAACATGTGCCTTGATAACCCACCAGTGTTAACAGGCTGTAGCAAGCCTGGCACTCCCATTCCTGTCTTTTTGATGAATCACTTACTAGATGACCAACTAGAATAGAGCGTGACACACTGTGGCCAGAGAACACAGCAAAATTAATCTGGTTCTTTCTGAAACAAAACCACTTGTCTTTGCATCAGCATGATCGATCTTCCAGGATTTAAAAAATAGTAAGTATAAAATGGTATTCCTCCATGTTCCACCTTGACCACAGGTAATGAAAAATCCTCATTTAGAGATGAAGAGATTTCAAATTCATCTAAAATGAAAATTAGGCTTAACTATGTAAAATGTTTTAATGCTAAAAAGATGACAGTCTCATCAGAAACCAATTTTTGGCACTTGAATCTGTGCATCTCTGTAACCCAAGGAATTTCCAAATAATAAAAACTGGAAAAGGCTACTTTCCTCAGAAATACATAACAACAGGGCCAGGAAGTGAGGTGGTGTCAGTCAGATACTGTATTAATGAAAGCTTGTCAACATAAATAGTGCAGCTATACTCTTTTGCTCAGAGGCATTTTTTAATCATGATCCTTGTGTTTCATATTTCAATATACAGTATGGTCTTAAAAATCCTGTTCAAAACATGCTTTCCTCAGCCTGTGCTGCTTAAATGTTATCTAAAGTTATGCTCTCCAGTGCAGGAGACACTAGCCACACGTAGCTATTTAAATTTCAATTAACAGAAGTTAAAAATTCAGTTCTTCATGCTAACCATTCTTCTGGGGCTCAACAGCTACCTGTTACTAGGGGCCAGCATTTTGGAGAACACAAAGAACATTTCTATCATCACAAAAAGTGCTATCAGACAGCACTGATCTGAAGAAAATGCAATGTGCCATATGCCCCTGAGAATTTTCAAGCTCATGTTTTCTTTGTTTATAAGTATCACTATATTTCTGGGCTAGAGATTAATACTGATCTCTGTTCATAGGTGTGAAAGAATAGTATCAACTTTCTGGTCCTTATTTAGACAATTTATTAAGTATTTTAAAGTTCTATATAAGGCCCAAGTAAAACATAAACTCAGATATTTTCACAACATAACCATAAAAAAGATTTGGTATGCATGATAAATTTAACAGTCAAGATTAAAACATCTCTTTTACTAATGTCCATAAATCTTGATAACGAAAGCACACATAAATATCATTTAAAGCTTCTCACACCAATGGGACAAAAAGCCCTTTATGTAATGTTGTATTTTACTTTGGGATCTTAGTAAGGGTAAAAAAAAAAAAAAAAAAAAAAAAAAAGTACAAACAAAAATAGAAAACTAAAAAAAACAAAACTCTTAGAAATAAACTGCTATGGAACAAGGACAAAAAATGTTTTGATTTAATATGCTCATTTGTATTGATATATGATATATGGGTTGACCAACTGAGTATGTTTAGGAATATCAACTTCACGTTATTTTCTAATTTACTTCGTCAGAACACAAAGTAGAGATAACAGTTGTACATCACTTCTTCCAAATAACTCCTAGATGGGAGACAGGAAATGGGGAACTGAATAGATTGCATGGGTTTTGTTCTTAGTAAGTAAAACAACTCAATCATAAAATGCACACAGCTGTATCTAAAAGAAAAATGCAAACACAACGTAACCATACTTTATTTGACTGCATCTTATTTAGACAGCTTGCACATTTCAAACCCCATTAAATTTCTCTCTCCAAAAGGATATGGGACAATAGAAGAAAATTAGGCAGCAATATCCAGTCATCAAACAGCAGTCCAATATTTTGAGATACACGTGATATTTTATAGATACTCAACTCATATCTGACGTCAATATAATTTATGGTTATGTCTTTACAAACCTGAAAGCCCTGTAACATTATAGCACTCATTTTAGTGATGTCACGGTGCACTGAAAATTCTGATGCACTACCAATTTGTTTTTAACCTATGCTCCTGGGAAGTGATGAATTTCATGATTTTTAGACACCATAAAATACACATCCAGTCTTACACATGTCAGCCAATACCATAACACAGGGCAAGATAAAGTTAAAACACGTGACAAACAAACTCCTTTACATAGATTTGTCAAGCAAGTGGAGAGGGTAATTTGGAGAAGAGGCAGAAAATATCAAAACCAATTTTTTAATAATATTTTTTTTCTTTTTAAAATTTTGCTGGCTTCAACTTCAAAAACTACTGTCTGGTTTCTGATCTGTGGACTTCTCTTGAGTAGTTTCATTTTAATATAAGGAAAATTATAACCAGTCCACACATCAAAAATGGTAGTATACCCGTTAGCTTCTTCAACACTAACATATATATAGCTTCATGGTAGCATGTATAAAAAATGTTCAGCAGTATTAACTGCCAAACCAGTGTCAGTGGATAGTACAGTCAGTCTTAAAGAGGCAGCACCCCTTTAAAAGAAAGTTGCACCAATTTTGCTCAGTATTAGCCAAGTGAACTCACTATATCAATTTTAAATGGAACTGTTTTAAAATTATGGAAGGAAAAATAAAAACCCAATACCAATGCCCCTTCAACTGGAATAGAGATTTAGTTCTGGTACTAGGTTATCATGTTAGAGATTAAAATTTTAGTAAGCAATTTTTGGTTTCCCAATGAAAGACATAAAGTAGATATTGTTATTCAACATACACCAGTTTAACAATACGGCAACCATATGACTTTTCAGTCACATGGTTAAGGTCATATTTACAAACACCCAGTCAATTCAGCAAAACTTGGGTCAGTTTTGGGGGAAAAGGTCAGTAGTGATTGTTTCATTGACGACCTGCCAAAAACATAATGGTTGAAGTGAAAATCCAGCATGTATCTACTTTAGAACTGTCCCCATTAGTGAGTGAAGCAAATGTATGTTCATCAGCAATGATTACCTATGAACCAGCAAATCAAATATAAAGTAGTGAGATAAAATCTGATAATGTAAGTACTGAACTGTTTTAGTTCAGTTCCCCCCATATAAAAATAACAAGCATTACAATGACTGGTATTCCTAAATGCTAGAGCCCAAATGAAGTTTGACCACAAACATACTGCAAATGGTTAGCTGGAACGCTAAGTATTGTGTGATCATATTTTTCATGTAACCAATATTCTGCCCATTAAACTTTCAAGAGCAATATAAAATGTAAAGAAAAAGTTTTCTTTAAAAATAAGAAACTATAAATGATCCCACCAGCAAAAAGACTTTATTTTCACCAAATCTGTGTATCTTTATTTTAAAAGTACTTGTTACCATGTTCACTTTCAAGACATTACACTGAGCAAAGAGCAGCTTTCCTTTAAAAAAAAAAAAGACAGCAAACTTTCCTGAAAGGGGGCTTTTACCAACTGTTAATGGAGGTAGGGTTTTTAAAAATACAGTAATTATAGTCATAAAATAAAATTCAAACCAAATCCTAGAGCAGAAGTAAAGCATATCCAAATTAAAGAAAAAAACAAAGATTCCTATAAAACATTTTTCACAGAAAATGATCTTTTTTTTTTCCATGGGTACCTAGGTTTTCCAGTTAAATAAATTATCCATCACAGGTTTCCTGACTCAATTAAAAGCAATTAACTGTAAGACTTGTTACAGTGCACAGACTGGCCAAAACATGGTGTAACTAATGAACATGGTGATGGCTATTGAAAACCCATAAGAATGCATTCCAAAAAAAATTTCCATCTCTCCCTTTTGTTTTTTTAGGAACTAAGCAAAGCTCTCCAAGAATTCGCTCCAATAAGTGGAAAGTATATAAAATCAGTTTAAAGTGGATACAATGCACCTTGAAATTTATTTCTAAGACCAAGAACCAAAAGTGAAACATCTTAAGAAATGAAAGCAATGTGAATCCTAATCAAGTGGGAAAAAAAATTCCAACTACATTGTAAAAGCTGTTCTTCACAGCTTAGCAATAATTTTGATTAAATAAAATCTTATCAGTTTACATTAATTTTCTATTCTTTCCAAAAATTCCCTCACTCTCAAAAAAGAAAAGTGCATCCAAAACCCAGCAATTCCCGGCTCCATCAACTTTTCTCATCCCCTTTGAGCCATTTCTCAAAGATTTTCCAAGTAGATTCAACTTCTTACTTTAAAGTAAACCACACTGTCACTCACCTGGAAAAAGTATCCAAATTATAAAAATCTGAAATAATTTATTATCAAATTTAGAATTTAAATAAAAACAAAGTTTGCTTGCAAAGGCCTTAAAAAAGAAAAGGAAAAGGTAGCATGCATTTAAAAACTAGAGATGAAGACATATACTTATCTATACAGGCACTGGCAGACGCAATTTAATTGTTATCTTTACTCATTGTAAGACACAACCAACCCTAAATTTTTCATTCACTAATCACTGAGGTACCAATATTCAAGAATGGAAAATTTAATATTGAAAAAATAAAACCTAAAATTGAAGCTTTTCCCCCACCCCCTTCAGAAAACTATGGCAGGTTTCATGTGAAATGTTAGAATATGTAAGAGATTTTTACAATCTACGTTGGCTTTTTAAAGGAACAAAAATCATGTTCCACTTACTGGTTCTGTGGTAAAATGATCACTGTGTAAATAACATTATCAGCAGACTTTGCAAATGAACAAACAAATCTTGGCTATCAACTGGCACATCTTGTTGGTACCAAAAAAACTCTTTAAGTTTAAAACAATCTCTTTTAATTCAGAACAAATGCGCCATGCCAAAGTGCAACAAATATTGTGCGACACTCAATGAGACACTGACAGATAAGAACTGCATGGAAATTACTAAATCCACCTGCAAAGCAATTCTGTACAAATTGCATTGCATGCAAAGGTCGATTCTGCGTAGTTGGAAAGTTGTTCCTTGATGTCAGTTTCTCAACGCAGCCACAATTTAAGTCGCAGTGCATCAACTCCATTTAAATAGTATCTGAACAGCCTCTTATCGCGAACAAAACCAAGATTTTCATAAAGTTTCAAAGCAGACTTATTCGTTATTTCTGTTTCCAAAACAACCTTCAAAAAATAAGAAAAACTAAGTTACAATGTTATATATCTGAAACTAATTTATTTCATAATTTGACAAATCACTTATAAACAACAGGTAAATATTTTTAAAAACATATCATAATTGTTTTAAAATTGATGGCAAAACAATAATTATTACTAATATACAGAAAAAACAAAAATAGTCATCAATATTTTAATAGCAATTTTCTTTTTGGGCAAGTAGGGTGGGAACACATGTCTTGTTCTACTGATTTTTGTGATGTTTGGAATTTTTAGTAATGAGGATATATGTTTTATACTAAAACAAAAATAAATTATTTCTATGGGGAGAAAAGTAGTGGGACAAAAAGATAACGAACAGAAAAAAAACAACAATCAATGGTTTAAGAAAATAAGCCACTATTTAAAAGTATTTACATTGACTTCCAACTCCTATATTTTCCTTTGTCTTCATTTAACCTGGTGACAATTACCATCCTTGCCTAGAGTCTAGACCAGAGTCTTCAAGCTACAGCCTTTGGGTTAAATGTGCCTACTGCCTGTTTTTGTAAATAAAGTTTATCGGACCATATCCAACCCCATTTGTTTATAAGAGGTCTATCTATGGCTGTTTTCTCAATTTACATGGACAGAACTGAGTATTTACACCAGAGACCTATGGTTCACAAATCCTTAAATAAAATATTTACTATCCAGCCTTTTGCAGAGAAAATCTGCTGTACCTAGACCAAAGGTATCCAAACTTTAGTGTACCTGGAGGGCTTATTAATATAGATTGCTGAGCCCCGCCCCCAAAATTTCTGAGTAGGTGGACATAAAGGAAAGAACAAACAAATGGGACTTCATCAAAATAAAAAGCTTCTGCATGGCTAAAGAAAACATCAGCAAAATGAAAAGGGAACCAACCATATGGGAAAATATATCTGCCAATGATACTGCGGACAAGGGTTTGATCTCCAAAAAATATAAAGAACTCACACGACGCCACTCCAGGAAGACAAACCATCCAATTAAAAAATGGGCAAAGGACCTGAACAAACAATTCTCCAAGGAGGACAAACAGAGGGCCTAGAGTCATATGAAAGGATGCTCAACATCACTAGCCATCAGAGAGATGCAAATTAAAACCACAATGACATAACACTTCACACCAGTCAGAACAGCCATCATAAACAAATCAACAAGTGCTGGCGAGGTTGTAGAGAAAAGGGAACCCTAGTACACTGATGGTGGGAATGCAGACTGGTACAGCCACTGTGGAAAGAGTTTGGAATTTCCTCAAAAAACTAAAAATGGAACTGCCTTTTGACCCAGCAATTCCACTGCTGGGATTATAACCTAAGAATCCAGAAATATCAATTCAAAAGAACCTATGCACCCCAATGTTCACAGCAGCACAATTTACAATAGCCAAGTGCCGGAAGCAACCTAAATGCCCAACAGTAAATGAGTGGATCAAAAAACTGTGGTACATTCACACAATGGAATACTACACAGCAGAAAGAAAGAAAGAGCTACTACTCTTTCCAAAAGCATGGATGTCTGGAGAGCATGATGCTAAGTGAAATAAGCCAGGCGGTATACACCAATACCATATGATCTCACCTGTCAGTGGAACCTAATCAACAAAACAAACAAGCAAGCAAAATATAACCAGTGACACTGAAATAAAGAACAAAACTGACAGTAACCAGAGGAGAGAGGGGCAGGGGATAAACGGGAAAAAGAAGGAGAAGGGTCATTAAGGAACATGCATAAAGGACCCATGGACAAAGCAAAGGGGGAAAGTGGTGGAAGGAAAATGGAGACAACTATACTTGAACAAAAAAAAAAAAAAAAAAAAAGTGTATATATGTATGTGTGTACAGAGAGAGAGAGAGAGAGAGAGAGAGAGAGAGAGAGAGAGAGAGACTGCTGAGCCCCAGCCCCAAAATTTCTGAGTAGGTTTTGGGTGGGGCGCCAAGAATCTGCATTTTTAAAATTGCCCGATGATGCCGATGCTGTTGGTCAGGGGACTAAATTCTGAGAACCACTATCTAGACATTATAAATATCAACACTTTAAACAGAGAAACACATAAAGTATTAACTTTTTACTGGGTCTTTTTCAGTATTACTGTACCAAAGGCCCTGACATCATAGAACTGATACTTTTGAATATTACATCATTTTCTTTCCTTAATTTATTTCTTTCCCTCCTCTATCAAAACATCATTTATCTCACCCCTCTAACTTTCATATTCACAGCTCTATTTGCTTTTCTATTGATTCTAAATCTACCTCATTGAGAATTAGCAACACAGTGAGCGACAGTTACTGTCTGAATGTCATAACCCTCAGGTGTTTGGAATTGGATTAAAAAAAGGTCAAAACATAATTAAACAGAAGCCCAAGTGAAGCCTTTGCATCTCTTCCTATTCCAGTTCAAGCTATCAAAAAATCTTCCAAGAATTCAAGCAAAAGATGCAAACTACAGAGAAAAGACTGTACCTCACCTCACCTTATACAAAATTGAACTCATGATCAATTCCTCCTTCATAACTCCGTATGTTAGTAATGAGATCTCTATCCCACGAATGCCTCACCCTGAAACTTGAGAGTCACCTTGTAACCTCTTTCCTGTCTATCCTCACACATACATCCAAGCACTGAGTATTTTCAATTTTCTCTCTCTTAAATCTCTCCCAAACTGATCCTCTTTCTATCTCCACTGATACTGCACTCTAGTCCAAGCTGCCATCAACTTTAAGAGCCTCCTAACTCAAAAAGTCTCCCATTCTCTCTAAATAGTGTGATGAATGCTCTTGTTAACTCCCTGCTTGTCCTCAAGATAAAGTCTGTAAATTAAAGATAATCTAAAGAAACCTAAAAGACCAAACAAAATTTGGCCTGTATCTACTCTGACAACTTTACATCTCTCCCTTTGTTCTCCACTATCAACAATAAACTTTCAGTTTCTAGGATCCACCAAGATCTTTCCTACTTTATACCTTTCACACCCTCTGTGTAGAAAGAAAGAATGCTCTTCCTAGCCCCCCCCCCCCCCCGCACCTTGCTTTCAGCCTTAGTTTGTCACTTCCGGACTGAGTGGAATATATCCCTTTTCTCATATTTAACACCACAGCACTCCACGCTGCTCCTTATTCAACTGAACTCTCATTTAACATTTAATGCACTCTCATTAACATAAGGAGTATGTCATCTTGCCTAGCTGGTGAGCCCGATAAGGGCAGTGATCATTGGTACCTCCCTTTACAGCTTTTTCCTCTTTGCCCAACACAATGCCTGACACATAGAAATCTCTTAAATATTTGTTAATTATAATACATATGTTCTCAGCACCTTTTATTATATTACATAAATAATCACATACTAAAAACAAACTTTTAAAAGATCTAAGAACGAGTAATTAATAGTTCAGGATAAAGAGAAAATGTTCCTAAGAAGGTGTGAAATAAAAGTTGTACAACAAACGTTGGTTTAAGAAGGAAAAAAAGTCAACAATTTCTCTCTGCTCTCAAAAAAACAAAATTTAATTTTTGGCAATGTATGCTATCCAACACTCCAGTCTGGTCAATACAAGTTTTCAGTTTTGAACAATTCTCTTGGGTAATTTCTAGAATTCTGTTTTAGGCCAGCACCTAATTACAGATAAAATGTTAAATCAGAGCAATTAATATGAGAAGCAATAAAACTACAACAACACAAAACCCAGAACTGATTTCACAGAAATTAAAAGGTGTGACAGTTTTTAAAAAATAGCTAATATTTATTAAAGGCTTACTAAGTGCTATGTCAAGCATTTTAAGTGAATAATGTCATTTTACATGCATTTGTCATTGTTATTTTCACAATAACCGTATAAATAAATATCATTATCTCCAATTTACAAATAAATGAAACTCAAGGCCAGTCTCTAAATCTGAACTAGAGTTTAGCAGTATCCATTTTTCTATACCTGTCCTGACTATTTTCCCAAGTAAAAACAATGCAGCAAATGGGAGCTCTAACCTACTTAAGAAATGATAAAGGAAATCTAAATCCATGTTCATTAATTTGGCAGTCTAAAATATTCAGAACATCTGTGGCTAACTACGACTACATAAAATACAGAGGTTTTGAATTACATAGAAAAAAAATTACACAAACGGCTAACCTTAGTTATAATGAAAAGATTCTCTTGGCACATTCACATTTAACAAAGAGGTCACGAATTATTTGACATAATGGAAAATGCCAGAAAAACATGACTACTTCTTAATACTTAATCGCTCATATTCTTATATTAAAAGAGAATCTGGGTTTATATTGGAAATTCACTATAAAACTATTCTTTTAGTCCACATCACGAGAGTATTACATAGAAAGCCAACGGATAATGAGGTTATTTTGGTTCTAAAGAAACTTGGCAAAGCTGAATTCTACTTAACAGAAAAAAAGGATTATAGTGAAGTTCCACGAATTCTCTTAGCAACAAACCATTGTTAGACTAGGCCAAACCATTACAGTTTAGAAAGTCTTTTTTAATATATAGGCTAGAAGCCTAGGGGAGGACAGGCTTCTTCACTGCTAGAACCTAAACACTAGTTCACTGTCTGGCACCTCACAGGCTACTTAGACTAATATTGATGAAAAACACCTTTATTGCTTGCTCTTCATAGTATCCCTGTAACAGCATTACCATCATATTGCACAGACGAAGAGACAGGCCATATAAAGTTCAATGACTTGCCTACAACCACACAACTATACTAAGTGACAGAAGGTAGATCTGGAAGCCAGGCTTCTCTACTCAGATCTTTAATTAGGTTAAACTCAACCAAAAATTCTTACAACTTAACTCCATTTTACTCTGTTCTTTACCTAGCAGCTTCAGTCTCATAGCCCAAAATACGTTTCCAGTTAAACAAAAAATGTTAAACATGCAATTATTAAACACAAAAACATTAAAAGTCATCTTGTACACTATAATAAGATGTATAATATTAACATGTTAACAGGTTATTT